CTCCAAATCCTGTGTAGCCGGTTCTCCTGAGAGCTTCCTGAAGGGGCCTACATTCTCCCTACTCTGTTTTTTATTTGCTATGTACCTGTAGAATCCCCTCCTGTTATCTTTAATACCTCTAGCTAAGTTTAATTCTAACTGGGCCTTAGAATCCTAACTGGGCCTTAGAAAAAGCTCTTGTGTTTGCTGCAGTGTCTTGAAGCTTACCTGGAGTCTACCATGGTCTTTGTGTGATACCCTGAGTCACTGAAGCAGAAGCAGATTTGGGTATAGATTCACACTGCATGGCTGAGGACCTCTTCCCAAGGTTGCTAGAAAGAGTAATATGCTACATAATCTGCACATCACTTGTGTCCACTGTGGGAGTACTGTTTCCCCTCTGTGTTATGAGGAACTGCTAAGCTTAGCATAAGGAGAGAAATGCAGTTACAGCACACATGCCTAACATTAGAAAATGATTCTTGAGGCTTTCTCTCACTGAAAATTAAAGAAAAAACAACCTCAGGCTCTTGAGACAAACACTTTGATGTAGCTTGGAAAATAGCAGAAAAGCTGCTCTGAGTGCTGGGCAACCCACCAAGAGTTCATAAGTTAATAGGAATCAAGAAAGCATTACTGTAAGCAGCATTTCTGTTTTGAGGCTTAAATTAAGCATACATTTTCCATAATGAAGAGAAATGCATGCCTGGGGTTTAAAGACAATGCAAGGAAGGTTATGGGAATAGGACATCATAGGAAAAATTTCCCAATTATGCCTTGTGCTTCTTCACATTCTAACAGCACCAGAAACATCAACAACAAAAGCCAAGATGCTGAATTTTCCTTTCAGCAGATAAAGAAAGTGTTAGGTCTGTGATTGTGATTTATGGCCATTCTAGTGAATAAAGTGGTCCTTGGACTCTGTATTGAGTAGTTGCCCTTGTCAGCTGGAGGGCAAACAATATGGCACAGCTCAAACCAGGGTGTTTTTCCCCTCAGAACAGAGTGGTTCCTCCTACATTGCCAATTAAGAATAATGCTTCATAAGGACTCTCATCCGGGAGAGAAGAGTGTAAGCTGCAGTGGACAGAGATCTGTTAACAGCTAGACAGAATGGACAACCACGTGCAGGCATTTCAGCCTGGTCCTGTTGCAGTTACTAGCATAAATCAGTAAAAACTGAGACCATATGATGAGTCTCCTACAGTCACATTTGAGATATTTACTGATGTGCCCCATGGAAAGTCTTTGCCTGACATCCTCAGAAGGGTTTCCTGAGGAAGAATGGAGTTCACTGATTCCATCTTTTTTTTTTTTTTAATTTATTTTATTTTGTTTTATTTTATTTTATTTTTATTTTTATTTTAGGAGTTTGGATGACCCTGTTACTGTCCTACTGAAGTCACTCACACTGTTCAGTGTGGACAGCCTCATAACGTCCTGTGCAATATGAGCAACTATTTTATGAATAGGGAATCAGATGCAGAGCAGGAATTTGTAGCTACATTGTCAGAGAAGAGTATCTGGAGGATCAGTTTTTAAAATTGGATGACTTTTCCTCTGCATTTGTTCATCCTTTCTAATTCTAAAGAAGATAAGAATCTATTAAATCCATAGAAATGTTACCATTTCCAAAGGCGTGCAGAGCATACTTCAATATGTTTCTGGTGATTTAATCTCTGGCTCAGCCAGACAAGCTTGTACTATATTTTCAATGGCTTTAACAAGGCAACCATATTTGAGATGAAATATTTCTAATGAATTGCCTAAATCAATAAATGTTTCAGAATAATAACTTGTGAGAATTCCTCTCAATGAGTCAGAACATAATCACCTCAAAGTGTGAGGTTGAAAGGGCTGTTACTTGCACAAACTGGGGATCTATCAAACTGTGGATATAAGGTAACTTTGGGATGGAAAGTGGACCTAGGTCTAGCCTCAAAAGAGTATAATGTATTCTAGAGATCCAGTTGCTGTTTCAAAACCAAACAAATTGGTCTGCCTGAGAAAATGCTTGTGAGTATATATGTGGCTGTGTGCTGTTTTAAAGTTTGTGTGTTACCCCTGAAAGATGGCAGTGAACAATCCCTATGTGTGTCAATAATTTCATAGTCAGTTTTGGGATAGAACACTGCTGTGTTCTTACAAGCTATTTAATTACTTTAATTTATCTTCTCAGCTACTTAGTCAAATGCTATTTGCAGCCATGAAAGAGGATAGGGGCTGGTGGAGGTTCACATTTATTTGACAGATCTAGATTTTGTGGCTTTCTAGATGACAAATTAGTCTGACTTTTGTAGTGCTCTGGCAACTGTAGTGATCCAAATATAGTTTCCTGAATTCCCAGCACCTTGTTTTCCTTAATGCTCTTCTTTGTTTGAATCTTTGAAGACATCTCTACGTAATCTCTTCTACAGGTGTTCAACTGTGGTCTCATGTGTAGAGACCAAAGGAGGATTTGTGTTGAGCTCATGTACATCATACCCATTCACAATGTGGTAGATAATGTCTTTAAGAAGTTCACTCACTCATAACCACACCTGATACTTGGGCTAATGTAAATGAGCTTTCAAAGGCAGAAGCAATGGTTTAAGATTCCAGCACTCAGGATGTTATGCTGGCTTTTTATATCAGCAGAGACATCACTAACATGAAAACTAAAATTTATTCATGTTATGCAGCCACTCAAAAGGAGTGGCATGATAAACAAGGGCATGATACACATTCACTTTTGTTTGATATTGGCCAACATTTTGTATTGCATCCCAGCCTTCTGATGTGTATACTGTATATACTATAGCTATTCATAGACAATGGCAGAACAGCCTCCTTCATTACATTAATCCTGATGTTTGTATCTGACAAAACTGGAAGCCTCTTCCAAATTATATTGCATCATTCATCTTTGAGGTTTATTTCTTCACAGTGTTTCAACATTATCTGTGTAGTTTGGTACCTGAATTGTAAGAGAAAGTAGAAGCTTGGTCTCCACGTGTGTCTTAGTGTGTCTGCTGTCTGCAACCCCATATGAGTAATGCAAAGAGGGCCTTCTAGAGAATTTGTGATGGGGGTTTGATTTTATATTGTTTATATGAATAAGTCCTGGTTACCAAAGATATTATTTTAATACTTCTAAAACTAAGAAACCTGCTTGGTTTAAAGTCTTCAGAGATGAAACCTGTCTGACTTACTTCAGATACAATGAGGTTATTTAGGTAAAGGTTTTTTATCAAACATTTTCCAGTATTTGATTCCAGTAAGGGAACTGTTTGTAAAGGAACCAAGATTTTAAACCTCATCTGAAAATCTATGTGGGTGTATTCACTAGAAAAAACAAATCCCCCTGTAAGTATGGATATATGAAATCTGTTCCTTAGGTGTATTTATTTGTGTTGTTTCAAGATTTGCTAGGAATGGAAATGAAACCTTTAAAAATGGTAACTAATTCAAAAGCCACCAAGATTTTGTCAGAAGTGTTCATTTCTGCTGATCACACAATAGCAATAATGCATTCAAAATATTTTCTTTAGTGGGCTTACCCCTGGGGACCAAGGAAACCTTTGGCTTGTGGTCTATTGTGGACCAAGGACAAACAGACTAAAACGGTCATTTTGGTCTGATTAAATCTGTTTCAGAATAAGAGTATGAAATCTATGACTCAGCTACTGGTTCTTTGAACAAAAGAATAGAGAAAAATTGCTTAAACTAAAGTGCTCAGCAGTTGTTATGGTGACACATTAAACTATCTGATCATTCTGGTTTGGATCCAGAAGCAATTAAAGGTGTAAGGAATGTGTGCTCCCATTTTGGAGCACTTCAAATCAAACTTTGTGAGCTGTAGCTGAGAAATATCTTTACAATGGGGTTGGGAATTCTCACAGTAAAATAAAACACAAAATTTACACTGAAGTAACTTATAAGCTATGAAATGCCAAAATTAAGATCCTTGTGCAATGTTATCTCACTTCCTTTACTGTGCCCTTTGTGTGTTTCTTTTTACACGATCACACACCTCATTTAGCAGATGTACAGCAATCACTGAATGGGAACTGAAGTGCTCCAAGGAAAGGTCTTTTTTTTCGTAGAACAGCAAGAACAGTGCAAGGGGGTACCAAACAGTGCCTGAACAGTATAGACTGATCTCTGTCACACGCTACTGGGGCAGTTTCTCTGCTAAGTGCATAGAGGCACCAACGGCATCTCTGTGACCATGAGATGTGTATGCATATGTGTGTATGCATGTGCATATACACAAATATATATTTTTACTATGCTCTTTCAGTGTAAGGAGTCTGAAATGTGAAGGCAGTGTTTCAGACTCGTGTTCTTATAAGGTGATACTGAGGGTGTCAGCTGTATGCTTACATGTGATCATGTACTACGTGGCTTGCTGGGAACCAAACCTATCACAGTAAGCAGCAGTTCCTGGAATAAACTATCCCCAGAGCTGCACCTGGCTTTTGCTTTATGGAGCACTATTTTTTGCACTTGAAAAGTGAACCAACATATGAGCAGTGTGCATAATTGTGGGTCTAAGTGATTTGAGGAATCCTCTGCAATCCCATGAGACCAATGCTAATTTCCCATTTCTGATAACCAGTCTGAATGACTGCTGAACTCAGCTGTCCCTGTTGAGTTGGGCAGATCTCCTTTTAACGAAAAATTCTCTGTTTTCATAGAAAATTGACTTTTACACAACTAGATCCACCTCTATAAATGTGCTTGTCAAGAAAAATGGTAAAATAACTGAGGAATATTCACATAGGAAACTGCAAGCTGCTCAAGAGCAGCAGGAATCCTGTAAATTGCTCTGTATTTGCACTGTGCCATGAACCTTGGGACCACATTACTGGCTGATCCCAAAGTGTTGCTGTATTTGTCACCAAGAAATTATCACAGCAATAAGATGGTAGTGACTCTGGAGGTAGTGGCAGTGGAGTGGATGCTGCCATTATTTGTGCTGTAACCTCTGTGTGGATGAGCAGGGGATTTAAACACTCATATGTCATCCTAATGGTAAGCCTGTACATGAGCTAAAGCATTTTTAAATATGAAATGGAATGCAAGAAGAATACTTGCAGCTCCCAAGTACAGCTCAGTGTACATGGGGGAAAAATGTATTAGGACTTGAGATCCTAGCAGAGGCAGTTCCGGTAATGCAACCCATGTATGGCTTTGATTTTGCAATTCTGGGATCAGGTATAGGTTAGAGACTAGAAAATACTGGAAGTAATTTCTATCTAAAATAGACGATTTGGGGGCAAAAAAGGATTGGTTGCATAGTATGTCTGAAAGTTAGGCAGCTATCTAAGAAAGAAGGGGATTGAAGAAGCAGACACCCCTGTTAGTCATTCTTAGAGCTCTAAAGCAGCAGCCTTGTCCTTGGCTTTGATGGATCCAGGGACAGCTCAAAATCTGTCTTATAGTCTGATAACATTCCAGCCCAAGCATGTGTAATCTCCTCAGTTAGCCTCACCAGCTCCTCTCTTTTGGGGTTGTAATAAAGTACCTGAGAAAGCGCACACATGGTTTGGCTGCACAGGAGTCAACACTCTCCAGTGTGTGTACAGGGCAGAAGAGGAAGAACAAACGAAGAACGTGCCTGTTGCTGTCTGTTTCAGCTCTCTGGGAGCAGAAAGAAGGGACGAGACATGGAAGGGTTCGCGGTCAGGAGAGGGACTCAGCCTAAGACCCAGCGTCTGGCAGAAAGCCCAAGTTTCAGATTTGTGAGAAACTGTCTGGGGGAGAGAAACATCTTTACACTAGATGTGAAACAGGAGGGCCTGAGGGAGGGTTGGAGAGGAGCCCAAGAATGAGCACAGCCTGCTGCAGTCATCGGCTCCAGCCGGGGCCTCCCTTCTTCCACTCACGTGAAGCTATTTCTATTGTCATTAAGCCTTAAAAAGCTGTTTGTGTGTCTGGATGTGCACGTGTGTGTGTGCGCATGTGTTTGCAGAAGTGACATGTTTAACTTCAGATCTGACAACGTGCCTTTGGCAGATTCAATGTAAAAATTAACTTGCTCTCTGCCTCTTTTCCTTCTTTTTTTTTAAGAATAAAACAAAACCAGATTGAGCTTTTACACTTAAAGCCCTAAGAAAATCATAAAAGTGAATTATGGGGTGAGAAATACTCTTTAAAGGAAAGCTTTACACTGGAGTAAACTTGGAACATTTATACATTAAATATTACATATAACATTTATGTGTATAAAATCTGCTGAACTGGCCAGTTTCTGACTATTACATAAACTTTATGCATTCGAGAAAGTAGACTTTCTTTCACAGAAAATAATTTGTTCTAGCTTCTATTATAAAATAATAATCCCTTGGTATCAACACTTGATGCTATTGTCACAAGCTGTCTCCTCTGTGTACTGTTTGGTTTGAATAATTTGTCCTTTGCAGACTGAGTGTAAAGTGCATTGGTCTAGCAAGCTAAAAGCATGATGGAAACGAGAAGAAAAGAGATAAGGCAGGGAAGTGAGCACATACTCCAGGCAAAGGGCACACACAGTTTTGGGGTGCAGAACTCAAGTCTAAACCACTCCTCCTAGTTTGGAGAGGGAGTCTGGGTCTGGGCAGCTGTACAGATAGTGAGTTCCAAAACTTAATCTTCTTGATATAAGGCAGATCCCAGGTTTTATAGCCACTCGTTGAGACACCTCAAAAGAAGGGACCAGGAGAGGGTTCCCAGGGAAGGCAGTGGGCAGCAGCACAGAGCTGGTGACCGGGGAAGTGTTGGGAAACCTTTGCCAGGAGAGAGCTCCTGGGGCTGTTGCCTTTTCTCTTGCTCTTCCCTGCTCTTGGTGCCTTGCTCCCACCAGCCTGGGGCTGACACCTGCAAGGGATGTCCCAAAGGAGGACTGCGAGCAGCAGCCATGCTTCTCCCGGTCCAACAGACAAGTATCTTCTCCTGGGCTGGTTGGACCTCCCTGGAGATGGTGCATTGACTTTCCAGACTCACTGGACTCATACAGGCACTGGACACACATTAAGTGAACAGACCTGGAAATAAAAATGTCCTCTGCTGTGTGCAGTGCTATCCTGATGAGGACTGAAAGAGAATGAAAGAAAATGCAGTAGATACCAATGCTGTCCCTTAATTCATGTCTGTCTGTTCTCAGATACCATAACAACAAGGTCTTATAAAAGCCAGTGCAATGTAGAATAACCTGAAAGAGCATTTATGTGGTGTAAGTAGACATTTCTTAGCCTATCTGTAGAAATACTGGCTATTTCTGCAGGTCATCTAGTAGTTGGGCTACTCCACAACAATTCATATGAGATCTCTTTCTGCAAATCCACTGCTTGAAAGCTATGACTTGTTCTTGTAGAAATTATTACAAAATGGTCTAAAAAGCAGAGGAAAAACAGAGGCTGTTCATGGAACTGTAAGCTACAGAAGTGTTAATTTTTTTCTTACTCTAAACTGGAACAGAAACTAAGCATTTCAGTGCCCTCAGAGAAACCCAGCATATATGATCATCTCTAATTGTCTGCCAGGGAAAAGCTGTGATTATGAAGAAATCACTGATCTAATCCCATAGTAACTTTTCCTAAAATACTATATTTCCAAAATACTCTTGTTTTCTTTTTGCTTCTCTAGTACTGCATTGTTTTAAAGAATTGCAAAATGCCCTTTTCACAATGAAACGAGCATCAACACTGGATTAACAGAATCAAGGTTTATATCCTGGAATGATAGGAAGAAAATAGATGAAAAATTTAATTGAATTGCAGATGTTATGTCTAGAAGAGCAAAATACTCTGAGAGTAATTGAGTAAGTTTCCATCTACACTAAGCAGAGATTTTAAAAACAGAATACATACAGAGAATGCGAATGTGCAGAATGCACACATCTGTGTTGAATGTTAGTTTCCAGTGGTATCAAGGAATACACATGTTTTTCTTAGATTTTAGAACTTAGTGGTATCAGTGGAAATAAAATAAAATAAAATGTCTGATTATATTGCTGAAGTCAGCAGAGGAAGAATGCAGAAAGATCTTTTTCTTCTTCCTGAGAGACATCTATAATAAATCATTAGTGGTATATTAAAAAGTAGCTTATAGCCATGGGACTAAGTGTCTTCCTGTTCACCAAAGAAGTAAGGAAGGAGGATATAAAATTTGGACAATATAATTCTGATTTTGTGTTTATTTAGGGGAAACACAAAAACATCAAAATTACCTGTATGATGTTGTTCAGTCCCTTAAACTTCATAACATTTCAAACAACATTTGGTGGATAGAAAAAGAGAATATAATTTCTTTAGGGAATATTTGTGTTAAGGAAACTATAAATTATGTTTTCTAGTTTTCTAAAGCAAGCAGTTATTCTGACAACTGGGAACTTATGACTATATGCAGTCAGAAAAAATACATTATCAAATTTTATCTTCTCAGGTAAGAAGAAATATAGAATTGCGGTTGTTATATTAAACCATTCATCTTATCATTCATTTACATTTCAGCTTGCAGCACAGAAGTCTGAATAACTAAGAAGATTTTAATTAAATCAAAGGACAAAGCATGGCAATTTAATGACCTGATATGAAACCTCATATGTTACCATTGGCCCCAGGAGTCTCCTTGAAGAAAAACATTAAGAATCAGATTTTCTGATCTATGTGGGCTTGGACAGCCTGTTCCCAAGACAAATGACTAGGAATCAGGCTTTATTTTCTACTGGTGCTCGAACCCCACCCAAATTGCATCAATTCTGGATCAAGGAGATACTGCAATTATATTAATCAGGCAAACATCCCAAATAATTAATTACGAAAGCTATCTTCTGCAGTAAAGCCGTGTTAAGGCCCAGCGGCATTTTCTGTTTATAGATTTTGAGATAAAAGCAGTGCAGCAAGTCTTGGTCTTTGCTGGTTTTGAAAACAAAGCAAATAATTATTTGCCCTCACTTTTCTGTTCATGACAAAACCATCTCTGTGGTTTAATTCTGACCTGGGCTGATAACACACCAGTCTTATCGATACACTAGGAAGGAAACAGCGTGTGGATCACTGCTATGGCTTGGCAGGAGCTATTCATGTGATGCCTGCACTTTGTCAGATGGCTTGGGAAATTCCAGAGCCGATACTCAAAGCCCTAGTTCAGGCAGGGATTTCCAATCCCTGATAAGTGTGAAGTTCACAAGAGTTAGCCACCCCACCTTTTCTGCATCTGGTGGCTGTGTTATGGCTTTCATGACGCATGCTGATGGCCAGAGCTCCACTTAACAGCAGACATGTCAGTCGGGGGAGGTAAACTGGTGGAGGACTTGACTGCCTTCCTCTGACTGAAATAAAGGTTGAGGCCCCTTACTAAGGGTGGTGTAGTAGCTGAACCTGATGTAGAAAATACAACCCAAAAATTAGAATAAATGGTTACATAAGTATTGACATACCCAATCAGGAAATATGACTATGATTCAGGAATCATTACATACAATAAATTCGTTTGCTTTTCTCTTCAAAAAAACAGGTTTACAAAACACAGGTAGCTGGGAAACACTTCAAGAAATGATTTATTTAGTTATGAAAAAGGAATAACAAGTGGGGACCTTGAAAAGTTTGATTATATTTGAAATATACCTGGAACTGGTACAACTGAGGGCAAGGATCAGTTGTAAAGTTTGACTTGAAGTAATTATCTGAGGTTTCATCCGAAGCGTAGGTTAGGTAGTAGGAAAACAATGATCAGCATATCGTGATAGCACAGGAACTGCTATCTGGGAAAGTTTTAGACTCTCTTCTGTTAGAAAACTTTAGGAACATTTTACACAAAATTCTCTCAGATGTGTTCTATGTATATAAGTTCTTCAGCAGAGGAGAAAGTTGGATTCAGACCTTACTTTCCTATGACTTGAGGATTCTAAAGGGGTTGGCTAATATTATCCAGGGGATTATATTGGATGGACATAAACATCCTTTCTGTTGTATGGCTTTGTTTATATTTTTTGAATTTATCCCATACATAAAGACAAGAGTTCAGATCCAATGCTGATGAATTGAAGAACATTGCATTACTCTATTATTTTATTGGGTTATTCAGACTCTCACAATGAATCATTTTCTTAGCTTAAATAAGTCAGTCACATCTGGAGCTGGTCAGAATATTTTCAGTGAAATGAAATATGTCACTTCATCAAAGCCAAAATGTTGTATCAACATATCAGTTTTGACAAACATTTCTTGAGAAAGTTTTGGTCTGGGGTTCCCTTGTCACTTATGGCCAGAGGAGAAAGAACTTGAGCTGAAAAGATCAAGTTTTATATCCCGAAACAGACGTTTCATAACAATTTCCATTTGCAAAAATGTTTGAGTGGGTTGTTTGCATTCCTCTGAATAGTGAAAACAAATTCTGAAACCTCGAAATCTACAGAAAAATGGAATCCTTGTCCTCTGAATAGCTCTAATCACATCTGAGCATACAAAATGCTGATTCAGTAGCTCATATTTAGAGGATTTAGGTATACCAGAAGGCAGAAAATCAGCAAACCATAAGAAATGTGGCTGTATCTTAGTAATTGGTTTCTTTTTCCTTGGAATAGAACCATTTACCAATCAGCATGTAAATGTCATTGAATTTGACTCTTGCCATAAAGGTGTCCACAAAACACACATGACAGTATGTTCTGTATCTTTCACACCAAGAATTAGTGAAGTGCATAGCAAAATCCTTCCTAAGTGATGTAGGATAGAGATTGGTCCCTATGCGATTAGAGGAACAGTAGAAATATGTTTTCTTTAGTCATTAAAATATTTTGGGCATTTCAGTTATTCAGTCATGGTTAAAACATTTTGAGTGCTCCAAGGGAAAAGAGTGAAACTCACTTGTATCAGATAGAACAGGAGGCTCCAGTGCCACTGATGATGCTCATCACCTGCTCAACCGCATAGTGGAAAAAATGGGCACTGTACATGACTGTGCAGGAAAGAGGAAGGTACAGCTGTGGCAGACGCTGCCCTGACCTTCCCTGGCTGGCATTTTATAGCCATATTTCTGTAACGCATTTGTAGCCATTAGAAAATGATCTTGCAGAATATGTATTTTAAGTGGTTATTATTAAACAGGTCAACACCTGCAGCTGTAACACATAGTGACATGTTCACAATGGTGGAAGACAAAATACTGTAACAAAAAGAGATGCTGAAGCTCTGCTGTATGAAACTAAGCTTGTAAGAAAAGTGGCTTAAAAAAGCATATCTGAACAGTTTCTGCGGTAAACCCAGAGAAAGATAGTTTTCTTCAAACATGAAGGAGCCATGTGT